TGGTTTTTGTTCATGACTAGCTAGCTAGAATACATTCCTCCTCTAATAAATATCCAATGAACAATTATGAAACAGGTTAAAAAAAAATTGGCACTATTAACTTCTTTATATTTTTTCAACAAATCGTTGATCCAAATTCGGACTTTGTTCTCTACTTAATCACATCTTATATAAGGCAATGAACTAGCTAATATTCGTAATGATCTGGTTCATTATCTAACACACCATCTTCTACTTAATCCTTTTTTTCCTGTTTATGTTTGTCATTACAGCTTCGGTTACTACATGCAAATGCCTCTACGTTTTCCATTTTCTATCGGTTATATACGAACAATTCTTGGGTTCACCCCCTCTAGTTTTAGCCAATCATTGTGTCATGTCATTTAACAATTAAAAAAAAATTAAAAATTAAATAAATTAAGAAGATAAAATAATTTAAGGAAATAGAATCATTAACCAAAAAAAAAAGTTAAGTTAACGCCGTTGCCGTTTCCTGAAGACATAGAAAGAGAATACACAGTTTTTGGCGATTCCAAATAACAGAACATAAAGCTAGATAAAGAGGAAGAGAGAAGATTTTGGATCTAAGATGAGAGAAAGGAGAATAAACTTGACGCTCAAGTTGGAAGATTTAAGGAGAAAATGGAGAGATGTAGAATTGGTATCTTATCGAGGTCGGGCCGTCGCGTACCTAAAACCGAATCTTTTGATGTTTTGAAAAAGACATTGAAATCGATAACAAAAAAAAAAGAGAACAAAAGTGAGGATTACATGGACTAGCTGTTGACTAATACGTTTTTGCTCTCAAACCAAACTAGAAGAAACAAGGAGTATGAGAAGAGAAGTTTAGACGTTCTATTTAGTTGTTATATTCATTGGAACTAAAATTATGTTGTCTTAGGGTGGCTTGTAGAACTAGGCTTTATTCTAGCTATCAATAAGCCTAGTGAGAGTTGTTTTATAGTGGTTGAAAAGTCTAGCAAGTGTGTGTTTCTTTTTTATATATGTCTGCATCATCTTTTGTAATCGCAGTACAAAAAATGCAGAGCTTTGTGACAATCTTTCTGTTAATTAGTTTCTGAATCATTATGCTCAAATCATACAAAACAGATAGAGATGATAATCTAGTTTCTGCAGTGAATTTGTAAAAAAATGATTCCACACGAGAAAAAAAAATCAAACTAGCTTTAATACTTGGTGTTACGAATGTGATTTTGAAAGAAAACATTAATAAATAAAAACATCATATGTTCTATGAATGATAATAAAGCTTTAAGATGATCCACCATAACTCTCTCCGGATTCAAAAAAATTCTTCATTGTCTTTGACATACATAGATGTAGTTTTCATATTAATGCACGTGGAAGACTTGCTAGCAAAAATACATTTTAATAAATCAGATCTGCACATACAAATTACAAAAACCATCATAAAAAAATTGGTAAAGCAAAAAAAAAAGTTTGATCCTTATTAAAATACTCGTCATCATCATAATAATTAACTATTTAGGAATTCAATTGACTATGTAACCTAGACCAAAAAAGGACACAAAAAGCTAACATAAGCTAACCTAACAATCTTACTAACACTCATACACCTTAGAATTGACTTTTTGGCCTAAGATATCCAATTAAAAAAACTTTTCAATTCAGAAAACTAATTAGTAATTAGATGCAGAAAACAAGTTACAGATTGTGATTAAAATAAGTTACAGATTATTGGTCGTATGGCGTAGGGGAAGAAGAGCAGATTTCAGCCTTGCAAAAAACAAGTTATCATACGTATCAATGATCGAAAACCTAAAAAAAAAAGAAACGGCAACGGCAGTTACCTTAACTTTTTTTTTTGGTTAATGATTTTATTTCCTTAAATTATTTTATCTTCTTAATTTGTT